CTTACACTGCACATCGAGATCGATTTGCTGCTCGGAGACGCCTTTGCCTATCGAATTGGACAGCTGGCAGGTGTAGTTGCCAATGTCCTCCTTGTCTGTGGATCTAATGACTAAGGCCACGTTTTCGGAGTTGCCGCCCTGATAGCGATCCGTATCGTTGACATTAACAATGTCGCCGTTGCGGTACCTGCAAAGAGCAAAGAGCAAGAGTTGCACAATTCAGTTGAGCTCAGTTCAGTTCGGTTCGGTTCAGAGATATTTGCCAAACAAACGTTGTGGGGCATAATTAAAGATGCTCTTGTCTAGTTAGTTAGGCTAACCCAGCTCAAGCTAGCAAACAGACAGGCAAACACACACAGTTATTTATGAGACAACACGCATGTATGACAGAGAGAGAAAGAGAGAGAGAGAGGGGGAGGGAGTGGGCGTAGGGCCAGCCCACTCTTGTTGGTTATTTAAAATTTATAGGCACGTTTGAGTGTGTTTTTGCTTTCATAATAACAGAGGGAGTCAGACAGAGATAGAGAGGGAGGCATTTAGAGAGAGACAGCGCTAGTGTAAGCTGCCTGCATTGTCAATGCATCTCGACTACTTTTCAGGCTCACAGCCAGACAAGAGAACTCGAAAATTATGTCAAATGTGCAGTTGAGCCTTGGCTCCGGCGGCTCCACTGTGCCACAGCATGCATAAGCTGGCATGGCATAACTCTCGGCAGCTCTCTGGCCAGCTCGAGTCGTGAGCATTGCTAAATTGAACTTCAAGCAAACATCAAATACTTGAACTTTCAAACTTTTCGGACGTTCTCTCGACTCGTAGAGCTCTGTTTGCCTTACTACTATCTGGACTGGCTTTAACTATTGAGCACATTCAGCTGCAGCTACGCACTTGTGGCTGTCGCCGAGGCTGACCACAAACAATGCCAGATTCCTCAGTCTCGATTTATTGTTTTATTTGCATTCTTCATTTTATGTTTTTTTTTTTTTCCCCTGTGGCATTAAAACAATTTTACGCCCGCTGCTGTCTGGCTATGAAATAACTGCAACAACAACA